TGAAGACATTTGTTTCAGAATGCACTCAGTGGTTCAGGATGGGGGACTTTTTAATTCTTTCTCAAACTTTGAAGGATATCCAGGAGTGGTTGGGACATGTGAGGACCTTAAGAAAAGCTCCCTACCTCTATAGTTCAGTTCAGTTCAGCTCAGTCACTAAGTCATGTCTGATTCTTTGCAACTCCATGGACTATAGCATGCCAGGTCTTCCTGTCCATCACCAACTCCCAGAGTTTACTCAAACTCATGTCCATTGAGTCTGGATGCCATCCAACCATCTCATCCTCTGTCATCCCTTCTCTTCCTGCCTTCAATCTTTCCCAGCATCAGGATCTTTTCAAATGAGTCAGTTCTTCACATCAGGTGGCCAAAGGATTGGAGCTTCATCTTCAGCATCAGCCCTTCCAATGAACACCCAGAACTGATTTCCTTTAGGATGGACTGGTTAGATCTCCTTGCAGTCCAAGGGACTCTCAAGAGTCTTCTCCCACACCCACATCTGCCCTATAAATTAAGATAAACTAGACTCCCCTTGATTTCCTGTTTTATTTGGTCACAATCATGACCACTTATGGGCTCATTTTCATTCCTTTGAGATTCCTTATTGGGAATTGCGCATCTTTTTACGCAGTGTCCGTGGGCTTCTCACTGCAGGGGCTTCTCTTGTGGCTTCTGAGCACGGNACATTCCAGGATGTCTGCCTCTAGGTGACTGATCACACCATCATGATTATCTGGGTCATGAAGACCTTTTTTGTACAATTCTTCTGTGTATTTTTTGCTACCTCTTCTTAATATCGTTTGCTTCTGTTAGGTCCCTACCATTTCTGTGCTTTATTGAGCCCGTCTTTGCATGAAATGTTCTCTTGGTATCTCTGATTTTCTTGAAAAGATCTCTTGTCTTTCCCATTCTATTGTTTCCCTCTATTTCTTTGCATTGATCGCTGAGGAAGGCTTTCTAATCTCTCTGTGCTATTCTTTGGAACTCTACATTCTAATGGGTATATCTTTCCTTTTCTCCTTTGCTTTTTGCTTCCCTTCTTTTCACAGCTATTTGTAAGGCCTCTTCAGACAGCCGTTTTGCTTTTTTGCATTTCTTTTTCTTGGGGATGGTCTTGATCACTGCTTCCTGTACAGTGTGATGAACCTTTGTCCATAGTTCTTCAGGCACTCTGTCTATCAGATCTGATCCCTTAAATCTATTTGTCACTTCCACTGTATAACCATAAGAGATTTGATTTAGGTCATACCTAAGTGGTCTAGTGGTTTTCTCCACTTTCTTCAATTTCAGTCTGAATTTGGCAGTAAGGAGTTCAAGATCTGAGCCACAATCAGCTCACAGTCTTGTTTTTGCTGACTGTGTAAAGCTTCTCCATCTTTGGCTGCAAAGAATATAATCAATCTGATTTTGGTGTCGACCATCTGGTGACGTCCATGTGTAGAGTCTTCTCTTGTGTTGTTGGAAGAGGGTGTTTGCTATGACCAGTACATTCTCTTGGCAGAACTCTATTTGCCCTTTGCCCTGCTTCATTCTGTACTCCAAGGCCAATTTTGCCTGTTACTCCAGGTGTTTCTTGACTTCCTACTTTTGCATTCCAGTCCCCTATAATTAAAAGGACATCTTTTTTGTGGTATTAGTTCTAAAAGGTCTCGTGGGTCTTCATAGATCTGTTTAACTTCAGCTTCTTCAGTGTTACTGGTCAGGGCATAGACCTGGATTACTGTGATATTGAATGGTTTGCCTTGGAAACGAACAGGGATCATTCTGTCATTTTGAGATTGCATCCAAGTACTGCATTTCAGCCTCTTTTGTTGACTATGATGGCTACCCTATTTCTTCCAAGGGATTCTTGCCCACAGTAGTAGATATAACCTCTATAGGTTAATTTTTTTTTAAGTGTTCAGTTTATCTACTATACTCAAATACTGCCAAAATGTCAGTAATTGACCAAGCATTTCATGCTGTTGGGTGTCTTTGTTTTTGTGCTGTTCCCCTGGCCTAAAGTGAACTTTCACATCCATCTGCCTGGTGAACACTTTCTCACGTCCTTTGAAATAGTAGACACATGACTTCCTCCAGAGTCCTCAGGATAAATTTACTCACCTCCTCTCTGCAGCAACACCTATGAGTTCAGTTCCTACTCTTGGATACTTGGAGAGTAGAGGTGAGCTCCTGACCCTCTCCTCCCTGCCTTATAAAAATAGAGAATCATGGCAGTTTTAAAAAAAATAGAATGAAATAATGCCACTTGCAGTACCATGGATGGACCCGAAGATTATCATGCTAAGTGAAGTAAGTCAGACAGAGACAAATACCATATATCACTTACATGTGGAATCTAAAGAAACTGATATGAGTTAATCTATCTATAACACAGAAATAGACTCACAGACATAGAAAATAAACATGATTACCAGAAGGGGTGGGAGGATAAATTAGGAGATTGGGATTAACATATATACAGAGCTGGGGACTTTTCTAGTGGTCCAGTGGTTAAGAATTCACCTGCCAATGCAGGGGCTACAGGTTTGATCCCGGATTCAGGAAGACCACATATGCTGAGGAGCAACTAAGCCCAGGCTTTAGAACCCAGAAACCACAACTACTGAAACCCGTGTGCCTGGAGCCTGCAACAGGAAGAAGCCACCACAATGGGAAGCTCAACCACCGCAACTAGAAAGTAACTCCCACTTGTCACAACTAGAGAAAGCCCACGCGTGGCAGCAAAGACGCAACACAGCCAAAAATAAATAGATAAATACACACTGCTATGTATCAAATACATACACAACAAGGACCTACTGTATAGTACAGGGAACTATATTTAATGATTGAATGTCTTATAACTTGTAATGGAGAAGAATTTGAAAATTTTAATATATATATATGGCCAATGTCTTACAATAACTTACAATGGAAAAGACCTGATAAAGTTTATATATATATACATATATATATATGAATCACTACTGTAGATCTGTAGCTAACACAACATTGTCAATTATACTTCAACTATTAAAAATAAAAAAATAAAAATGGAGAGTCAAAACCAGGTTCAGAACATGAGCGTTTGCTCTTCGTCCATCCCAGACACTCATCTTCCGTGGCTCTGGCCCAGGCTTATTCCAAAGCTCTCTCAAAGCTCAAGTGGGCATGCTCCTTCCCTGGTGAGAGTTAGAACTGTGTCCATCCTCTTGATGACCTTCTAGGTACCTGGATGCACACGTACTGCTATCTGACAGTGCAGTGAGCTTTCCTCAGTATGTCTGGTGTCTTAACAAGCAGATTATCTCTTACTCTCAGTCTTTGTGGGCCTGGGCTTTTTGGGGCAGTGCAGATCAAAGCTCAGCCTCACACTGGCCAGCCGGCCAGCAATGAGGATTGAATTTTAGGCGTTCTGATGAGCACTTAATAGAATTTTTGGCACAAAGTGCTGTGGGAGCACAGAGGATGGAGCTGCTGATTTTGTCCAGAGAACAAAGATAGTTTCACAGAGAGATGATCTGTGCAGTCATTACATCTACGCCAGTGCATCCTGGACAGCAATGTGGCCTTATTTGGGCTGTTCGGTAGTTCATGGATGAACATTTAAGTTTAAAATATGTGTCAGTTTAAAGATAAAAAATAGTAAAGGTAAAATATGGCTTTGGCAAATATTCGAACAACCCAAGTTTATCATCTGCAATTCTATTTGCTTAATTGATGAACGTCATTTTGTCCTTACTATGAGAGGGTCACTCATTTATTGTTTTCAAATATTAATTCATTTGATAAAAAATTCATTTGAGAACAATTCTATGAAATAGATAATATACTATGTTTAAATTCAAAGGATAGAGGAACTAAAGCACAGCAATGTTAAAACAATTTTCTAAGGACATAGAACTAGCAAACGGAAGCATTTGCTCCCAGGCAGTAAGGGGCTAGAACTTGTACACTTAGATACTGTAGTATGTTGCCTGCTATGCAAATACATTTGGAAAAACCATAAGCTCTAGGAGGCTAAGATTCATATCTCTTTTTTTCCCCCTCCACCGTATATCCATCCTGAGCTTACAGCATGGCTCATAATAGGAGCTAATTACTAAATACTTTTGAATAAATGGACAACAGAAACAATTAAAAAAATCTTTTGGTTGCATTGCTCACATTATTGTTTACTTCTGTTTACATATTTGTCTTCTCTTCAGGCCTTGAAATTCTCAAACATAAGAACTAGATATTTTTACTCATCTCAGAATCTTCTCAGGTCCAGCCCACTCCTGTCACATAGTATTTACTCAGTGAATTCATTAATTTAAAAGGCATGTATTTTAGTCCTTTAAAACTAAATATCACATAATAGAAGAAGATCTATAAATGGTGCTATAATGGTGCTGTAAAAACTTGGTGGGGGAATTTTTTTCAATCAAAAATAATTAGCACATCAGTCATAGGCCTATATTTGTGTACAGTCATCACCACAACAAGAGTAAGCCCCTTTAAGAAAGTCTGATTTCACAAAAGAGAAATTGACAGAACACCATGCTACTTGTGTTACAAAGAATACAATAGGGTTCTTCCTTATATTGTGTTCTAAGCCACTTCAGTTGTGTCTGATTCTTTGTGACAGGATGGACCGTAGCCTGCCAGGCTCCTCTGTCCATGGGATTCTCCAGGCAAGAATACTGGAGTAGGTTGCCATTTCCTTCTCCATCCCTTGTATTGGTTCCCCTGAAATGAATTTCAAAGTTATCATTTTCAAAACTTTAACTTACACTTTTTCGAGGGCAGTTCTGTGATGTAAAATGAGTGTACCCATAAATCAATCAACTTACATTACACACATATATTTCACAGTGATGCCCACAGAAAAGAGCACAGAGCATTCTCATCAGATAGTTCATAATTATTCCAGCAAAATTATGTGATGGTTACCCTTTCAGTTGTAATTAGTGACATTATCTGGTAGAACATGTTGCAGAATAATGAGTAACAATCAGCTTTAAAGCTGGACTTACATGGGTCAGATTTCAGTCCGACACCTCTAGTTGTATGCCCTGGAACAAGTAAGTCCTGAAAAAAAAGGAAATAATAATTGCTCATCTACATGGACATTGTGAAACACTGTATGTCAAGTACCAGATGCATAAGAGGTCCAAAATAAAAATTACTTCCTTTCCTTTTTTCTCATGATCCTCTATATTCATAGAAAGCTATCAATTGTATATTATTAATAAGAAGCACCTAAGCTAGAAAAGACATGCCTTACCAATGCCCTCCAGTGTTACTCAGGGAGTCTGGTTATCCAGGAATAACTAATAAGGGCTATAAATTGAAATAGGGTAATAGAATTGACTTCCCCCAACACTTTCAGGGTCATTTTAGTAAGTTCTTTGAAAACTCAATAAAGGGAATTCCCACTGTACTGTTTCCTGAGGTGAGTGATACAAGCTCCAGCAAGCTATTTATAAAATATGTATGCATCCACATGGGCGTCCCCAGTGGCTAAGCAGTAAAGAATCTGCCTGCAGTGCAGGAGCCACAAGAGACCCTGGTTCGATCCCTGGGTCAGGAAGATCCCGTGGAGCAGGGCATAGTGACCCACTCCGGTGTTCTTGCCTGGAGAATCCCGTGGACAGAGGAGCCTGGCAGGCTGCAGTCCATGGGGATTCAAAGAGTCAGACACAACTGAAGCAACTTAGTACACACATGCTCAATAGTATGATATAATTTTCAAGAATGTGGATCCCAGAGCTGGACTACTTAATTAAAACTTGAGATTTCACATGTACTAGTTGTGTGTTCTTAGGAAACGTATTCAACTTCTATATACCTCAAGTATGTCATTTGTAAGAGGGAGATGAGAATAACATCTATCGTTTAGGGTTATTTGGAGGATTGAATGAAATAAGGCATGTAGAACACTTAGATCAGTGCCCACCATGTTGGAAGTGCCCAAACAACCTTGCACATCCAAATATTTAACAGGATTATCTGGATGGTGAGATGATGGTTGAGCCTCAGTACTTTATATTATTACTCATTTCTTGAATCCTTTACAATGTGAGCATATTCATTCATCCTCTTACACACACACCCAAAACCTTAATTTTGTTTTGACATGATAGACCTTTTAAAAATGAGCAGCCTTTAATTCAAAGAGATGAGAGTTGGAGACTTGCTTAGAGTCAAAGCGTAGAATCCAGGAAGAACCAATAGCAAAAGACAAGGCAATACAGTCCAGAGCAATTTCTAGGGGGAAAGGAAATGCAGAAACTTTTCACACAGGCATCAGGGATGAAAAATCTTTATAAAAAACTTGTTATGGAGCATAGTTGTTTTACAATGGTGTGTTATTTTCTGCTGTACAGAAAAGGGAATCAGCTATATGTCCTCTTTTTTGGATTTCCTTCACCATAGAGGATTGAGTAGAGAGTTTCCTGTGCTCCACACCTAGATTCTCATTAGTTATCTGTCTTATACTTAGTAGGGTATATACATCAATCCCGATCTCCCAGTTCATCCTGCCCCTCCTTTCCCTGCTGGTGTCTGTTGATAACTTTGTTCTCTACATCTGTGTCTCCATTTCTCCTTTGCAAATAAGTTCATCTGTACCATTTTTGTCTAGATTACGCATACACAGGGGTGAAAAATCTTTAAAGTAAGATCCAAAATCAAATACCAGCCGATGATACAAATGGGTGAGGGTGAGAGGTTGCAATGAGTAGGGAGTGGCGGGGATGCTAGAGAAACGACGATACACACGGCCCATCTAGAGAGGGTACTTCTCGCTTGGTGTGGCCACGCAAAGTTTCTAGATCTTCTCTTTTCTAAAGACAACTAAAGAATCTGGAACTTTATGTAAAATATCCTAAAATTTAAATGTTGGAAACTAAACTTTTAAAAAATATATTGAAAGCTAAATAAACTTGTCATGAAGCCATCAGTTTACAACCAACCAATGCATTAAAAGCTCATCTCTACCCCCCCAAAAAAGTCTGTAGAAGAACTCCATCTACTGTGCACTTTATTTCTGTTGTTATTACATCACCTCCATTTCAGATCGTCAGGCATTGGATCCTGGAGGTTGGGGACCCCTGATCTAGAGAACAATTTCATGTCAGGCAAGGTGAAGAAATAAAACTGTAGACTTGCCTTTGGCTGGCTGCCAAGAACATGGAGCCTGAGTACAAAAGTCAAGGAACAGAGGGTTTAGTTGGTGGCCTCAATGCCTTATTTATAACTATGTTCATCTGGCTGGTATCTAGGAAGGTCCTGGCTCTCATCCACTTGTCACTTTCTTGTACTGTCCAATTTGACAGCATACTTTCCAGTTTTCCCTTCTCAGATACTTCCATGGCTTGGGAATGAATAGATAAATAGAGGGAAAATCTCTGGGAGAAGTTAGGGAGACCGGGAATCTGGGAGGAAGAAACTGGCTGGAAATAACTGCCTTAGGAAGATGAGCAGGAATTTGTTATTCTCAAGGTCTCTGTCTATAGCTCCTCCCTCTTATCTGCCCACCACACTCTTCCTCACCCTAACCCTAACCCAAACTCTAACCCTAACCCTGACATAGACACTACTGCCAGCTCTGGAGAAAAGCTGAAGCTGGTTCAACTGTCTCAGAAATTTGAGTAAATCAAAAGATGAGAGCCAGGTGTGTCCAACAGGAAAGAACTCCTTCTTTTGTTTCTACATCCTTATGCTCAGAAGTGGAACCCGGCTGCATGCCACAAAGGGCAAGAAGGAGAATTTCTTCCCCAAAGAGCCCTATTTCCTTTTCCAAAAACCTCTTCAACTAACAGACATGTTTTTCATCTTTCTTCCTCAAATCAGAGTTAGCCCTATGTGACTAAGGCCAGGCACATTTAATTACTGAAAGCAGAAGCCCCCAACCTTTTTGTTGAGTGACAAGCTGGAAGAAAAATAGCATCACCCAGAACATGTCACTGGGAGGAAAAGAATGACTGTGAGGGATGGCCGCTCAATCTGCTCCTCCTCCTTCCATCCCTGTGGTTTATCTTTCCCTCTCCCTCCCATCTTTTCATTACCAGGAAGACCAAAGAACTTAAAAACCATCTCTCATCCTCAACTTGCCTATGCTAGTTCTACTTCTGGCAGATTGACTACTGACTGTCTTATATCTTTCATGCTCCCTCTACAGCTAACAAGCTTCTAATCATCACCCAACCGAAGTGGCACCTCCTCAGCAGAATCATTTCCTCTCCATCAGGGAATATAAGCACCCACTCCCCAGATTCTAAAGAACTTTGGCTGTTGTTCACTGTCCTGCTCTTACACCAACCAGACTGAAATCTTTGCCATGTATGTCCTCCTCCCCATAAGAAGAGTTACCTAGGGGCAAGGACTGAATCTTCCTGTCTCTACCTGTGGCATCCAGCAGACAGGCTGGCAGCTAGCAAGTGCTCAGGAAATGTATTGACTAAACGAATGAGTGAATGAATGACCAGCATGTGTCCAGTTTTTTTAATAGAAGATTTCTCAGAAGGCAGTAGCTTTCAGACATTCCATAGCTATTTCTTAAGTGCCTACTCTGCGCTGGGGACAGTTCAAGGCCCTGGAGCTAAAGTGCTGTACAAGGTAAGAGAGATAAGAAGCAAGTAGAGGAATAAACAAGATAAAGTTATATAGCCATGATGCTATGAGGGAAATCATGCGGGAGGATGTAAGAGAGAGTCACTGGGGTTTCTTATAAACAAGAGGTCAGGATGGCTTCTCTGAGGAGGTGAGACCTGAAAAACCAGAAAGAGCTAGTAGGAAAGATGAGTGAGCAAAGCTGTAACAGGTGGAGTGAGCATTGAGGGACCTGCTCTCAGGAAAAATAGGTTTATCATGTTGGAGGCAGAGTGAGGGGATTTGGGTATCTGATGGGGTGGGAATGAAGATGGTGGAGGAGATGAGTTTGGAGACCATACATAAGGGTCAGATCATCCAGACTAGTGGATCATGGTAAGGACGTCAAAGGGTGTGCAACAGGATGGTGACTTGATCTGCCTTTTGTCGTTGGGAAATCCCTCTGGTTCAGGTGAAAAGAATGGGTTTGATGCTACAGCGGGAGGAGACACAGGAAAACCAGTTAAGAGAACACTGCATGAGCCCAAGTGTCAGCTGATGGCCGCTGGTCTAGGATGTATCGTAGGGATGTAGAGGAGAGGTGAGATTCAGGAGATGTTTCAGAGGTGGGACATACAGACCTTGCTGGTATAGTCAGTGCAAAGAGTGAGGAAAGATGAGAGTGGAGGGAGCGGTTGTTTGTACAAACGCATTTATAAACTAATACATTTCCATTATTCCTTGTTCCTAGGGAGGATCCCTCTCAGTTTCACTCCTCCATGGATCTGGCGGAAGGTGCTGGAGCATGAAATCTACCAGCACACCGGGCTGCCTTCTTCCTATTTTCCAACCCTTCTCCGCTTGCCTCCTGCATCTTTTCCTCCTCAAATGCACTGCCTAAGCCTGCAAGTCATTGCTATTGATTTCTCCAGCAAAATGTAATTTGGGAGGCTGGTTTACTCTTTTTGAAGCATCATTTGTACACAGGAAAGTGTTATGTGGGGGCTGATGGCTTCTACGGAAAGCCACGCCATCCCAGGCGTGGAAAGGCACTGGATGAGTCAACAATGCAGGGACGGGGTGGGGGGGGCTGTGACATTTCATGAAGTGCTGATTCCTTGTGGGGTTTCGTGTCATGGAAGGGAGTGGCCTGAGCCAGTCTCAGGCTTCTTTGGCTCGTGGTTGCCAGAGCTCTTTAAGGAGGTTTAGAGGTTCATTGCAATAAGAGCCTGTTATAGATCAGACCCCATTGAATCCTAGGCCAGGCTATTAAATTGATTTCTTGTACTTTATTTTCATGGTTTAAATAGCAAATGGGGGTGTCTGCGGTTGGTCTGCAAAAATCCAAAAATTGAAAACACACCCTACTTCCAGATGGCCCATTCTCTCCTCCCCTCATTGATGTTCATTGGTCAGGCTGAGCTCCTCCCAAGGTTTTCAGAGTATTTAGCCAGTCAGACAATACACAAGCATTGAATGCCTCTGAATGCTCTGGG